ACAACATACACTAGGGCGTGTGCGAATTATGATTTACATTGGCAAACTATAAAATGTCTAGATATTCCAGTTATAAGTATAGGCAGATCGCCTGATTTTTATTTAGTTTCAAAATGCATACAAGTATGATAATAAACTAATTAGGATAATAAGACCAAATATAAAGACGCACGTTGACTAGTATCTACATACTGGTGAGTGGACGTTTACCACGTGAATGTAGCAAGAAATTTATTGGGCAGTATTGTCACTTCGACCCCCACCTCGCTTCAGAGGAAGAAATCGTTATGTTACAAGTTGTGTCATGCAAAATCCTGTTGGCCATGATTCAAATACATATTTAACTACGAGTAGAAAGTAGTTTCGATTTTCTAACTTGATGAAAACAAACCATAATCTCATTAATTCTTTAACAGACTTTAGCCCGTGATGTTACGATTATGAAAAAACATCCGCCAGTCTGAGAATAAATGCTATTTAGGTTGGTTTTCACCGAGTTACAAAATCAAAACTACTTTCTACTGGTAGTAAAATCTGTATTTGATTGATGTCAAACAGGATTTTGCATGACATATCTTATAACATAACAATTTCTCTCGTGGAAGCGAGGTGGGTGTCAATATAATACTACTTACAATATTATTGCCACTTCCACCACAACCTCGCTTCCGAGAAAGAAATCGTTATGCTTCAAGTTGTGTCATGGGAAATCTTTTTGATCATCAATCATAGATTTATTGTACTACAACTAGTAGGTTGTTGTGATTCTTTAACTTCCGCGAAGCGATCTGAACACATTTAAGATATCGTTCCAAGCTTCTACAACGCTCGCTTCGCACTCACAAACATAACCCATTTAGCACGAACTACGGGGTCCGGGTGGAAATTAGTGCATGGTGACACCATCACTCGACCCCTTAGGAGGGCAACGCAACGATTCGTTTTGCCTCGAGTAAGTTTCGTTGTTCAGACCATCCTTTAATGTTGGAATATGGGCGAAAAGTAAATATAAAACAACATGAGCGATTCTGCCCTCTGTGTATTGTACTTACCATTGAATCAGAGTACCAATTCTTTATTGAATGTTCATTTTACTGTGATATGAGAAACAGCCTGCTACAACAATACTACATAAATAATCCATGTGAAACTAAATTTATCAACTTATTATTGTCTTGCAATTCTACAACTGTTAACAATCTTGCTAAGTTTATATTTTTTGCATTGACAAAAAGAGCGAAGTTGTCGAATATAGAGTATAAGGTTAAATGAGACATTGTACATGTTAGCATACAGCTTAATAACAGCTTAATTAACTCTCACTCACTAGATATAAGCTTACGATGACACATACTTAAACTAAACGTGCAAAATTCACTTTTCACCCAAAACATTGAACATTTAAAATGTGTTCACCACTGCAATTTCGACTAGTCAAGTCGATAATCCTTTCGTTAACCCCTTAAACAATCATTACTAAAACAACACCAAACATCAAAGACTACCGCCAGTCGCCTTAACGACCCCATGAAACACTCATGCCGCCCCATGCCACTATTGCAATTAGCCCATGCAGAACAATAATTTACCATCACCCACCAGTTATCTCCCCTTGCGGATATTTCCAAGATTGGAAATTTTTGGAAACATCATCTTTCCAAAATTGGAAAGTCTTGGAAACATCATCTTTCCAAAATTGAAATGTCTTGGAAACATCATCTTTCCAAGACATTTCCTAGGGTGGAAAGATGGATTATTTTTCCAGTGATAACTACTGTCTATCAAGGCGAAATTTCAGTTTCTTTTGTTTATGAATTACAACAAACGATCGCAAGTAAGTTACAGACGGTCATAAGCAACTTACAACACAATTGCTTTGAGGAACGGTGGAGTGATTGTAAGTTAAAGTTACAATTGGATTGTAGTGATTTACAACTATTGTAGTGTTACAATGGTTTTGAGGAACGGGGCCCAGGTCTAAGATTGGGAATAATTATAGCAACACACCTTGACGAAGGAAATTTTCCAGATGTCCAGATGGCATCAATGCTATTGTGAGAGCGTCTCTAAATATGGTTCTGGTAACTGCTTCAGGAGTTGATAATATATATTTTCAGCTCCTGAGGCAGTATCATGGGCCTGGCCAAGAGCTCTATGTAGCTCATGTATTGAAAAGGTTTCATTGTAGTCTTCCCCATTATCTGAATTGAAATTAATAGCTTTCTTTTCTTGTTGTTTTTGAAAGTTTTGATAGTCACCCCAGTCTGCTGACATAAACAACATCTTAAGATCGCTGCACTGGTTGCCCATCCGTACACATGTTGTTTTTAAACTCCTGTGCCTAGCCTACCAGTGTGTTCATGGAACTGTTCCCGAGTATCTATGTGAACTCCTGACAGCTAGATGTCTCCGGTCGAGTTCAAAACAACTCCTTGACATTACCAGATTTCAGCTGAAAACATTCGGATGCAGATCTTTGAGTGTGACAGCAGCTGTCAAATGGAATCAGCTCCCTGACTCTTTAAAACACTCTGACTCTCTTCCATCATTCAAAGCCCTCCTGAATATCTATGTGTTCAACAACTATCTCTGACTCTGGACTTTCCTTGCTTAAGCACTTTGAACGTGCATTGATGTGTGCAAAAGCGCTATATAAATGGAACTATTATAATTCAGGTACATGTTGTATAGGGGCTACTTTAAGAATATATCGTCCATTTTGAATTTATAATGAGACACCTGGACACCTGGTGTGTCTATGTTTAGATGATGAGTCACTGCTCTCAGGTCTATATTGAGAACTATGGTGTGAACATCTGGTGTGTCTATTTTTAGAATAATAAAAAGTCCCCCCGAACAGCCCTCCATACACAGTTTCAGTCACTACACCTAGTGATTACACATTGTGGATATACCAGTGTATTTCTTATGGGATTACTAAACAACCTTGGATAATACTGTGTGATTCACTGGGTTTATATTTTCAATAGCTCTCAACTACACATCTCAGGAGTAATTAAACATTGTGGATATTTCTCACTGGATTACAAAACATCTGTGGATTATACAATGGAGTCACTACACATTATACTACCAGTGTATTTCTCTTTTATCTCAAAGCGAGCGCCCATTATCGCAGTATCAATTCCCGTCTGACTAACTATAACTATTAAAAATGTGAAATTCAAATGTATACAACATCCTACCTTCAGTCCTTACATTGTAACACAGAATACATCGTAACACAGATTAAGATTTACATCATCATCAGATTGAACGAGTGTTGGGGATAAAGACTAGTGTACATGAAGTCAACTCACCTCTGTTCATCATATCCATTATTGAGGCAAACAGTGGTGGTAAATCTAGATGTTTAGAGGGGTTGGAACAAGTAACCCATTCATGTGAAGAAACAGATTGATTCATACTGTACTCGGACAATGAATGACTCATTTGCCCACCCGTAAGTCCGACCTACAGCCATTCAAAGCTATGTTTACGGGAAAGGGAATCCCCTCTCCCACCCAAGCATGAAGATTAAGAAAACAAGCGTATAATGGAGTGAAAAATAAATAACTTCAAATACATGTTACCGAGTGTCCATGTTAATACTTTCTTTTAATTTGCGACAGCCTCCGAGTGAGGTGTGCCATGTTCATTCTGCCATAACATTGCCTCTCCCTACGTTCAATGAACCGAGAAGCATGACGGCCTTCACGCCCATTGAAGAAACCAGGTCATAGACCGCGTCCCCCCGCCGCCATTTTGAAACAAAATGATAAATAAATATATTTAAACAAATAACAAAGTCCTAGCCATGCCCGCCGATGAAAAAAACTGAGTAAAATGTTGAAACTCATAGCGAAATCACACACAGCATGCTTCTCACCAAAATATCCCATGTAGAACGAGTCACCATGAACTTACTTTAAAATCCCACATAATCATATGAATAAATACAGCCCACACAGAATACAACCTATAGATAGTTGATTACACATGACTCACATATGCCATGAGCCTACTTTAAAACTCACACACAATCACATGAATAAACACAGCCCGATACACACACATAGGATACGACCGATAGAAAGTTGACATTACTCCCGTTTGCCACGAATCATTCAATCCCAACACAATAAACACAGTCCAATCATAATCAGAACCTTTCCCTAGATTCATCGTTTTTTCTAAACTTATAGCTTGCATAAAACCAATTTTAGTGTGTAGATGTACTCGCATTGTTAACATGTGTACTCATGATACTGTCGTCAACAACATTATTCATACGCAAAAATACTCACAAATTAGAATAGAGAATGATCCATCACATAAATTCCACACCTACTGTGCTGTTTTAAACGGTCATGAAACCGCCAGAATACCTAAACACGCACAGCACAACATACCGGCTGCACACGGCGGTGAACAAAGAGCATTCAAGCTTGGCGCCAACAGCCCCTGCCTCAAACCGGTTCTGTCAAACTGAATCGCAAAAAGGGTCTATCAAACCGGTTCGCAAACGGTTCTGACTCAAAATGGCTACATGTCCAAACCGGCCACATGTCCAAAACGGCTTTGTAGACCACAAATGGCTTTACAACACTAGTGTAATAGCTTATGTATTTATAAACCGTGTATATATATACATATATACATTCCGTGTTGTGTCACCACCTTTTTATCAGCTGCTATCAATACATGCCTTCCTCGTCTCCGGATCGTCGATGAAACAAGTGCCCCTTCTGTTTGCATTGATGTCGCGGCGCCAGATAGAGGACTACGTGGCCGTAAGTAGTTAAATAATAGCTAATCTAATTACTGTACTCTGTTCATTGTCATCAATTAATGATGTAATTATCTGTTTAACAGGTCTTCGACGCGGTGAACGACATAATGGACAACGTAGCTGTTGAAAAAAATGGTCACAGACTTTGAGGCGGCGACCTGGAGAGGCTTTAACAGAGTTTTTCCGGCCGTCCAGATCAAGGGCTGCACCTTCCATATGAATCAGGCGATTTATTGGAAAGTGCAGAACTTGGGTCTGGCTACGGCTTACGACGAGGACGTGGGAACACACAGGTGAATATTTTTTTGTTTCTTTTTACTATCTTTCAGATGATCTTGTTTAAAAAATTATCTGCATTTCTCATTTTTATAATTTGTTTTTTAGATTCATCAAAAAGCTTATGGGCTTGCAGTTCCTCGACTCAGCCCATATCGAGCCAGCATTTATGAAGGTCAAACAACAAGCAGTGACACAGAATCTGATCGCCCTCTGTGAATATTTTGAGTCGACATGGATTCGAAGCTCTGTGTGGACCATCACAAATTGGAGCGTGTTTGGGACGGCCATCCGGACGGACAATGACCTGGAAAGCTGGCACAGGCGCTTAAATCAACTCTCCGGGCGACGTTGCCTACCTTTTTACAGGCTGCTTCCCCTCCTCTTCCGAGAGGCTGACCTGCTTCCCCTGCAGATTCGCCTTGTGACAGACGGTCAGCTGGACAGAAGGCAGCATGCTGGCCAGCGTGCCAAGGCGGATAATTTTTTTAGATTATGGGACGATTTCCAGGCAACAACTATTATCGTGTCCCAGCTGCTGAGGGAGGTGTCGAAACTAAATGGGCCAATGGTCACTGAGTGACTGTGTTACTACTGTGATATGTGCTGTTTTGAACATTGTTGTTAAATATATTACATTATCACTCTTCCATAACAATGTTGTCTGTCTTTTTACATTTTACGACGCTTCATCTTTATTACACATACAGTCACATAGTAACAATATTTTCGTATCACTGAAAATAAAAAATACAACACAAACCCGATATATAAAAATACATTTAAAACAAGTGTAGACAAGAGACGGGAAAATATTCGTTGACTCTTCATTCAGCTGTCCTTAGTTTCGTATCACTGAAAACAAAGCATACGGGAAAATATTCATTCATAATTTCCTTGAGCTGCCCTTGAGCTGCCCTTAGTTTCGTATCACTGAAAAAAAAGCATAACAACTTCGTTATAAACATTCTCAGTAACATCTAAGTACAATTCAAACTATATATTCCATTATTTATACACGTCTACGAATTCACCGTCTACGAACCGGTTTTGGTTACGAATTCACCGCGTCTACGAACCGGTTTTGGTTACGAATTCACCGCGTCTACGAACTGTCACCCTATATATGTATATAAATATATTCATTTCAGATCATTAAAATTGTTGTTGTATTCAATACAATGAACTGTAACAATTGTTATCTTCAATACCATGAACTGAAACAGTGGTTACATTGTATTCAATCAACAGGAATGACGATTAAACTGAAACTTGTATGTCTGATAATAGTATGATCATGTTAAGAATATGTGGATTCAGTGAAATAGGGTTGAAATTGGTATTATAAAAACCAAGAATTGCACAACAGTTGTCTTATGTCAATCCTACAGCAATACATTCAGTGAGTCACGTACACTCTCAGCAGCTCTATGGAGGTGGTCTGTACATAATGTACATAATCGAGCCTGGACCAGACAATCCAGTGATCAACAGCATGAGCGTCATTCTACACCATGTGCCATGTGTCAACCAGCGAGCCTGACCACTCGATCCCGTTAGTCGCCTCTTATGACAAGCATGGGTTACTGAAGGGTAACCCAGAGGAACAATACATTAAGAAACAAGAGAGATATACAGATTTCATTGTTTATTAGCTCCGTTTCGAATGAGTAGACATTAGGATAGGAGCTCTCCCAAATGCCTACTTTACATCTGTTGTCTTATTACTCTTCATCATCATCCACCTGTCCTTCACTCTCTTCATCAGATGTTATGTCTTCATCTTCGGTCATGCCTTCGACCCAAGACTTATATTGGTACAATTTTGAAATCACTTCATGATACATATTATTTTTGTCTTTTACTTGTTTCATTATTCCTTCTGTCTTTGGACCATACTGCATATGGTACAGATAAGTAATAAATCGGGCATACGTCTCTTTAAGGGTGCTCCACATCAATTTGTTCAGTTTGGCTTGAATCATGTCTTAGTTTAAACCTCTTTTTATGTACAGCTGTCGTTTCTCATCCAAGAAGTCTTTATTCAGCTCACGTGTACGTGAATACATTTGTCTTATCCCTTGCTCTTCGAGATCAGCCATCTTATTTTTCCTGTTGCCATGTGTGACATCGCTTAATGATTCAACATCATCGTCCTCATTTTCCATTTCAGGACATTGTTTATCGTGTAAATGTCTTTGTAAATTATGGTTAGTGCTAAACACTTGACCACAATAGTCACAATCCGACAGAGGACGTGGTCTCTTTACAGGTGAGAAGTTGTTGTCTTCCTCCCACTGCCTTTTTACTTGGGGTATCCCAGGAGGACGCACTGAAGACTTTTCGGGACACCAGTTTCTTCTGTGTTTTTGCAAATCTTGCACATCTTGAAACACGAGTCCACAGGCATCACAAGATGACATGGTTGAGAGGTTGTCTTCACGCGTCTGCTCACGCTGAACATCTAACTCGGACTGAATTGTCCTGGCTTGGAGGTGTCCTTTTAAACTGAATGCATTGGGACAAAGTCGCATATGGGGAGGTGTTTGGGGTTTTAGATCAACCAACAAGTAGCCATAAGGCTTCTGGGTAGCCCTTTGAAACAGCCCCATGAAATGGTCTGTGTTACCTGGATACATTTGCCTCGCCAAAGTCATGATGGGTTGTTGATCGATAGGGTTGTTGAACAGAAGCAGATAATGACAGTTTCTTCGTTGTGTGGGATCCTTACTGAAATACAAATTCTGGTTCAAGGCGATCACTGAGAGATTACGATGATGACTTCCTTCCGTAAACAGATCTGTAATGCGTGGATCTTTGCTCGCTGTCGACATTAAGTCATCGAGGATAACCACGTTCACCACATGGGGGTTTAGAAAAGCATCCTTTTCGAGATCAGAAGGAATGCCTTGATGAAATTCCACATAGGGATAAACATGGGTTTGAATGGCATTATACAAGGGCTGCCATCATTTGTAGAGCCATATAATACGTTCAGGATAAGGTTTAATGTTCATCCTTTCTAGAATCTGTTCCACTAAGTAGGTTTTCCCACAGGAGGTTGGCCCTGAGACAGTCATGGTTAATGGATGTCGCAACCTACATTCTTCCAATGACTGGGTAATACTTTCTGATGAATGTGGTTGCTGCTGCTGCTGCTGCTGCTGTGGTTGTGGAGGAGGAGGAGAGGGTTGTTGATGTGGTTGTGGAGGAGGAGGAGGAGAGGGTTGTTGATGTTTCTGTCTTCTATGTCTCAACATATTGTCTGTCCTGGAAAAAGTCATATAGCACACGGGACACGTTGTTGACTGCATGGTGGTCCGAGTCTAAATGGTAGGGAACCATGTCTACTGACTGCTTTTATCTAAAAAGTCGTCTTCCGTTTCTTCATGGGAAACTGGGAGGAACTTCCAACTTTAGATTCCCCTTTCTTCTGCATCTGAATAAGAGCCTTGGCTTGTTCGACCACTTGTTGAGTAGGGGTAACGAAATTAATCTTAGGTTGTTCTGTGGTTTCTGGTTTCTGTTTGTCTTTCTTCCACTCTGGATCATACAGTTCCAAATATCGATCGACAGACAACATGGCAGCTTTTTCTCAATCAATCTTTATTCAGAACTGAAGGCCACAGGCCCATAGTACAGGTATATACAAAGTTCAAAAGCAGAGTGGGTTTCTCTTCAATATCGCATGGTATATGAACAAAGCAATATTTTCAATCAATATACGATTAGAAGTTGACAACAGTTTGATAAATTTATGTTTTGACGGTTGTTTCGTAAAGTAACTGGGTATATATTTGCTTCTAATGTTTCTATAATAGTCACAAATTAGCAGTACATGGTATTCATCTTCCAAGACATTCATTTTACAATATCTGCACACAGTAGATTTCTTGTGAAATTTTCCCTTATAACAACTTAAATCATAATAAACAGAACGAAACTGTGATAAGGCTTGTCTTACTTTCTTGATATTGATACAACGTACATATGGTTCACACAAGAAGTCTTCTTTTAATAGGGAATAAGTAAATGTACAGGGACTATTTTGGAGTTGTGCATGCCACTCCTGTATAAAGCAATCTTTGCTTCTTCTTACAAGTAAATTTAAGAATTGGTGCTTATTTCCAACTCCCCTGCCATATCCACGCATAACCTAGTCCAAATCTAAATAAAACTGTTTTACATGCGTAGCCCAATTAAACCTTTTACGCTCGGCGCTTGCGTTTAAATCTAGATTACATAACATTTTGTAAGCTTTAAATGGGTAGCGTGAACAGGGCATGGAGAGGAGCTTAAGCCAGTAAGCAATACAGCGTTTTAGCGTGTACACATGAATAGGATATCTACCAGTTTCTCCAAGGACAATTGTATTTGGTGTAGACATTCGCACACCAAGGAATCGTTTACATGCATAAAGCAATACCCTTCCAGACAATCATGTTTGTGAAAGCCCCATAATTCTGACCCATACAATAATATGGGTAGTATCTTACAGTCGAATATTTTGAAATAGACATCATATGACAAGTCTTTAAAGCTACAAAGGCATTTTGTAATACACACTAAAGCTTTCTTTGCCTTAAGTGAAATGTGTTTGGCAGAGAGGGACCAATTTAGAGTTCTATTAAATGATACTCCAAGGTACTGGTACGATGTAACGACTTCCAGCATAGCTGATTTATATGTCCATTTTTCTGATTTTGATAGTTTAGGTCCTTTTTTAAAAATCATAATTTTAGTTTTATCAAAGTTAACATTTAAGGACCATTTATTACAGTAGGTTTCTAAAGCATTAATTTGCCTCTGTAGACCAATCACTGACTCTGAGAAAAACACCACATCATCGGCAAACATCAACATAAATATTTCAATACGATCTGGATATAATTGGACGCCAGTGGAACATGAATGGTTAATCTCAGACACTAGATCGTTGATAAAAAACGAAAATAGGAAAGGGCTTAGGACACAACCTTGCCTAACACCAGCTTTTTCTCCTCCACGTGTTATAGAATGATAAGGGTCTCCTTTCCCTTCAGCCCTGAGCATGTAAAATCGTGTCCATTTTTCGGCATCCGGTACGAAGAGTTTGTATCGTGGATTATTTATGATGAAAACGGCCTGAGGTGATGCGTCACTGTCACTGGTCCACGGCTAAATGAAGTTAGATAGCCCTTGGGGCCTGTTATATAGATATCTTCATTGACCTTGGGCGTGGTGTAGCTTTCAACATCGCTGCCAGGATGGTTCGGATGCAGTACTATGACAAACTAAACCGGGTGTACCAAACATACTAAGCCGATGCTCTATCATACAACCAGGCATTTTGAATGGCCTCATCTCTAAGTGCATTGACAAACTGTGGTTTCAAAACAAATGCTACGATTGGCATGTTACTGGCAAAAAGACTCTCCCACCTACTGCCTGTCGTCCACAGGGGGTGAACTAATCTTCGTAACACCGCTGAATAGTTATTTCTATCATTTTTCCTCAGGAAACAACGCCTTTCATATCGAGTCACTGGTAATCTTCCCTTTAATAACCTATTGATAATACCATTGATGGCAAGAATCTGTTCTCTGTTCATTTCTAAGATGTCTTGTCGAATCTCCTCAATGTCTTGAAACATTAACATGAACCTTAAAAATTCGAAATGTTTCAACACGTACCTAGCCATACTATTTCTAGCAAACAAACTCTTATCATGGATGGGATCTCAGTGAGATTAGTATTGAGTCAACCTCAATTTATACTATACATAGACAACCAAGGCAGACATACTCTCAACATTGATTTATTTCCAATAGTCACACATTTTACATCACACTCTTGGTTGCAAATCCACATGACTACCCCAACGGGTCACCTCTTTCTGAGGTACTCCCACCAGGGCCAAATACGGACAATCTGGAGACCAGTTTTCATGTTCGGCCCAGGGATCATCATCTACTTCCCAGTTCTTAAGAACGAGACCACATTGAAAACACTTGCAAGCGTCCCCTCTGATTAAGTACACAAATCCTGCCTGAGCCATGTGACTAGGACTCTGTTTCATCTGCACTGGCCAG